TTTTTTTTTTCCTTTTTTTTTTGGTACTAGGGATCGAACTCAGGTCCTTGCGCTTGCTTAGCAGGCAGCACAACCACTGAGCTAAATCCCCGGCCAATTCTTTTAATTCTTTTGGAAAGATCCCCAGCAGGGGAATAGCGGGGTCAAATGGGACTTCCAGTGCTAGTTCTTTGAGGTATCTCCACACTGATTTCCACAGTGCTTGCACCAGTCTGCACTCCCACCAGCAGTGGAGCAGGGGTCCTCTTCCCCCACAGCCCTGCCAGCTTTTGTTATTGGTTGATTTCATGATAGCAGCCATTCTTTCTGGAGTGAGGTGGAGTCTCAGCGTTGTTTTCATTTGCATCTCTCGTCATTCCAGAGCATTTTCATCGCCCGAGAAGAAACACCCACCCCATTAGCTGTCACCCCACTTTTCCATCCACCACCACTGGCCCCGCTGGGGACTTGCCTGCCTGGGGACTTCCGAGAAAGGACGTGGTGGGTGGGACCTGTGCTCCCCACTTCGCCTTCCTCTCTTCACCTGCACTCAGGGCTCATTCGAGTCCTAGCACGCATCGGGGCAGGTCTTCCTCCTCTGACCATGGGTTTCCTGATGAATCCACTCGATTTCACATAAAATTTTAAGTTTCCCGAGGATGTGTAAGCCAAGAACACACACTGGTCTACAGACAGGCAACACTGTAAAAAACAGGAGAGAGAAAGAAAATCTTGTAGCAAGGACAGCCTTTTTTTAGGATAAAGACTGGAGAAGGGGCCATTGGGTCCCAAGTACCACCGGCAGCCCTGTCTGACCGAGTGAGGCTGGTGGTGCTAAAGGGAAGAGGAAGCTGAGCGCCTGCTCCCAGGAATGGGGCTTTGAGTTTAGGTCACTGGTCCGTCTTGGGTTTGCATATGGTTTCCTGTTCAGAAGCTGATGCCCCTCGGTCGGGAATGTCTGGTACAGCAAACAGGTTTCCTGGGCTTCGCAGTTACGGGGCCCAGAAGAATGTGGCTCCAGATCTCAACTCAAGGCTTTCCCATGGAATGCTCCCAGCTCTGTTATCATGGAATGGGGTGTCGGAAGTCCGGTCTGGCTACTGCCTGCCGAGTGGGGGTGCAGTGCTGGTCTCGCTGGAAGTCGGAGCCGGGATGCAAGGAGGACTGCCAAGACGCGTCCTCGGTGACTGCCTGGGAGATGGCTGTACTCCTTCAGCAAGGAGTCTGAAGCACGTTAGTTAGGCAGGGTGAGAACAGACACCGGAGCCCTAGATAGGCGCTGTTGGAGGCTGAGCAAGGGCCAAGTTGCCAAGACTCCTGTGTTCGGAAGGGGGAGGAGCAGACGTGGTGAGATGGAGCGTGAAAAAGTAGCCCGGGAGGAGTAGGAGCCAGGAGCTCCAGAAGTGGTCAGCCAGCCAGCAAGGGTGCAGGTCCAGGCCTGCTTTTACAGGGCAGTGGCAGATGGCAGAGTGCATGTCCCCCACGTCTGTGTCCCCAGCCCCCAGTTCACGGACATGGGTGATTGCATCTTTTCCTTCCCGGGTGTGCTACTGTGAACGTTTTGTGCAGTACTCAGTTTTGTTGCAGGCGTGTATTTCCAGCTCTCTCAGGCGTACTCTGGGGAGGGGATCGATGGTTCACTCTGCAAGGAACTGACAGGCGGTTCGCACAGTGCTGCGGCCGTCCCTCCACATTCCCACTGGCAGCCACAGGGCTTCTGGTGCCCACACTTGCTGTTCTCCTTGTTTTCATTGTCGTTTTCTACCCATTCTGGTGGGTGTGAAGTGGAATCCCACTGGCTTAGGGTTTTATTTCCCTAGTGCCCGATGATGTTTAACAGCCTCTAGTGTGCTTATTGCCTGGTTTTCATGTCTTTGGAGAACTGTTGAGGTCCTTTGCCCACTTATTAATTGGGTTATTTTTATTGTTGGGTTACAGTAGTTCTTTATATATTCGATATACCGATTTTTTTCTTTTTTTTTTTTTTTGGTCCTGGGGATGGAACTTAGGACCTTGCTCTTGCAAGGCAGGCACGCTGCCACTGAGCTACATCTCCTGCCCTATATACTGATGATGTTTTTTTCTATATGCTGATTTTTAATCAATCTGTGACTTACAAATATTTGCTCCTATGGGCTGGGGATTTAGCTCAGTGGTTCCAGCGCCTGCCTTGCAAGCGCAGGGTCCTGAGCTCGATCCCCAGTACCAAAAAAAAAAAATTTGCTCCCATTATATAGGGTTTTTTTCACTTTATAGCATCGTTTGAGTGCAACAGTCTTAACTTTTTTTTTTATTGCTTTATTTTTTTTTTATTGTTTTGGTATAATATCTCATAAATTATTGCTTAATCCAGGATCATAAAGGTTTATACCTCATATGTTTTCTCCTAAGAGTTTTGTGGTTTTGGCTCTTGCATTTAGATATCTGGTACTTTTCAAGTTAATTTTTGTGTATGTGTGAAGTAGGGCTCCAACTTTTTTCTTCTCTTTTTTTCTTACATTTTTCTTACTCCACATTTAGTACATAATGATTACATCCATTGTGGTAGTTGGCACATGTACAGAACACACCTTAATTCTTTTTAATTCCTCTCCCTGTCCTCCCCAATTCCTGCGTCCATTGCATTTCCATATGATTTTGGGGCTTAGCTCTTTTATTTCTGAAAATAAGGCAGCTAGAATTTTGGTGGTGATGGTACCAAATCTGTAGAGAAGTTTGGAGAATATTGCTGGCTTAAAATTCTGTCTTTTCAGTGTATAGACGGGGAATGTCTATCCGCTTACATCTTTCAGTGGTATTTTGTACTTTTCAATGTACATGTTTTATACTTCTTTGGTTAAATTACTTCTAAGGATTTTATGTTATTTGTACTATAGTAAATGGCATTTTCTTAATTTCATTTTGATAGTTTTCGCTGTTGCTGTGAATTGTGTGTATTGATCTTATATCTTGAAACTTGGTTGAATTTATTAGCTCCAGTGGGTTTTTTCCTTTCTGTGTGAGTGTTTTCTATAAAATTTTCTATGTTTAGAATTATGTCACTGGTGAATACACTGCACCCCTTCAGTTTGGTTTTCTTTTTCTCACTAAGTTGCTCCGACCACAACTTGGGGGGCAGTGTTGAATGGTGATGGTGAGGGTGGCCAAACTTGTCTTGTTCCCGATAGTGGGAGAGGACAGTGTCAGCTTCATGGTGTCAGTGTAAGTGACCTTCATCATGTTAATGTAGTTTGCATCTGTTGTTAGTTTGTTGAGTGTGTTTATTTTCAAGAGACATTAGATTTTTTTAAATCCTTTTCTGTTTCCTATTAAGATGATCGTGTAGATTCTTTATTCTATAATAATTCCCTTTATTCCATTAATACCTTGACAGGTTTTTGTTAGGTTAAATCAACCTTGCATTCCTGGGACAAATCCCACTTGGTCATAGTGTGTATGGAATCTTTTTTATATGTTGCTGGATTTGGTCTGTGAGATGTTGAGGATTTTATCTTTATTCGTCAGGGATTCTGGTCTGTAATTCTGCCTGTGTGTCTGTTTGGTTATGGTGTCAGGGTATAGTACAAGCCACCCAGAATAAGTTGGGAAAGAGTTTCTGAAGGGTTGGTGTTAATTCCTTTTTGAACATTTGCAGAAAATAGCCAGAGAGGGGCTGGGGTGTAGCTCAGTGGTATAGAGCATTGCCCAGCATGCACCAGGCCCTGAGTTCAGTTTTCAGTACCACACATACACACAAACACACACACACACACACGGAAAGAAAAAGAAATAACTAGTGAAGCCATCTCGTCCTGGACTTTTCTGTGTGGAAAGTTTTCTGATTACTAATTCAGTCTTTTTGCTTATTAAACATCCATTTGGATTTCAGTTTCTTCTTGGGTCGGTTCCAGTGGTTCATTTCTGTAGGAATTTCTCTGTGTCAACAAGGTGATCTAATTTGTTGTCATTCCCTGTCTACGGTGTGCCCTTACAGCCCTTTCATTCCTCTGAGGTCAGTGTCATGTTGCTTAATTCCTGGTTTTAGTAATTTGAGTCCTCTTCCTTGCCAGCCCAGTCATGCTAGCTCATAGTTTACCATTTTGCTGATCTGAAATCAAAGCTCTTTGTCCTCACATGTTACCGCTCTCGCTGCCCTTATGAGTGTATCCCCATGGGCTCCTGGCTGAGGGAAGCATAGCGCTTGAGCCTGTCTGTGCTCTTCCTTGCATTTGAGAGTGCCACTCTGCCCAGCGTCGCCACCTGTGAGGCACCCCGGCCGTGCGGCTGCAGAGCTGGACAGAGGCCGGCTGGTTGCCACAGACACTAGTGCACACCCTCGAGCACTCACGCAGGGCCTGTTGCTAGTGAGCTCGCAGCTACTGCTTGTAATTGCGGGGAGGGCAATTCACATGACAGCTGCACTCTTCTGTCTTCTGTAAGCCCATAAAAGTATAATTTGATGAGTTGTAAGAGCCAAAAAGATTCTTTTCTTCCTTGTTGCAAAAGCAGTATTCAAAACTAGCCACACAACCCAGAGGGCCCATAATCCCATCCATGCTGAAACCAGCATAGTTGACCTTTGGCATGAGGAAGTCGGCAGGGGGTGGGGGGTGGGGGGTGTTGTAGTTCAGGCCGACCTCAGAGGTATGTGGCCCAGGCTAGCCTCGAATTCGCAGCAATCTTTCTGCCTCCGCCTCCTGAATACTGGGATTACAGGCAGGAACTCTGCTTTAAATTACTGTTACCTGGACTTTCCTATCCAGACCTCTGGAAAAGGTGGCTGTTCCTCTCTTATTCTGGGACACTTTGCCCAGAAACTGCGAACATTCGTATCCAGCAGTGTTGGTTGGCTTTACACCTGCTGAACATGGGAATTCCTCGGGGAGCTTTCCAGAACTACCAAGAGATAGAGGGGCACAGAGGAAGAGGAGGGGAAGGGGAAGTAAAAGGAATTAAATGTTAATGTAAATGTTACGTAAATGCACCAATTCCCCACAATGAATGCAATAATATACTACAGATGTGTACTAATAAAACTAAAATCAAAAGCAAATAAATTAATTAAAATAAAATGAAAAATACAAATTCCCAGCCAGGGAAGTGTGTACAACACAGCATGCAGGCATTGATAACCAGGACTTGCCAAGAGTCCCAGGGGCTCCCCAGCCAGATCCATCTTCCAAACCGAGGACCGCAAGCCTGCCTGCCTTAGCCTTTTCGGTCATGCACACAAGAAACCACCTTGGTCCAACTTCCTGTCCTTTCTGCATCATCAGTACCAAAGCTAACAGACAAGTTCATCATGGTGTTGTTTTGTCTGTCTGTATTGTTCATTTCCAAACAAGCTTTGCTGCTGTGGCATTTTCCCGAGAATCATACTTCTTCCCCTTCTCTTTTTACATCAGAGATATGAATCAAGTGCTCGACGCCTACGAGAATAAGAAGCCATTTTACCTGTACACGGGCCGGGGCCCCTCTTCTGAAGCCATGCATGTTGGTCACCTCATCCCCTTCATTTTCACAAAGTGAGTATGGCATCAACATTGCATGATTCTTCTCATTTGACTGCGGTACTTACAGGGCATCTGCAGAGCTGGCCAGACTGTACCATTTCCGGTTTGCTGAGCAGCCAAGTGTCAGGCATTTCACCTTCAAGGCTTCTGCCCATGCTGCAGGGCTCACTTGAGAGACACAAGGCATGATGGGAGAGCAGCGCCGGGGACTCGGCCAGGCTTGCTGCCCTCTCCTCCTCCCTGTCCCCATGTCATAGGCCAGTGCACTGTGGGCTTACCTGTCTGCCCTCACCTCCAGTGAGGGGAGTGGAAAAGCAGCTGGCGCAGGTCTGGCACATGAGAGCCTTTCAGTGTGAAGCAGTAGATTTCATTATGGGTCGCCTAATGTACAGCATGGTGTGCTTGCTTCGGCAGCACATTTACTGAAACTGGAAGGATAATGCCAGCGTGGTAAAATCCTAGGTTTTACAGGCCAGAAGTAAGCGGGACCTGTGTGTTGGTGCAGAGCGGCCTTCCTCAGGCAGGCGCCACGCCCTCCCCCATTCCCTAGGTGGCTGCAGGACGTATTCAATGTGCCCCTGGTCGTCCAGATGTCCGACGACGAGAAATACCTGTGGAAGGACCTTACCCTGGAGCAAGCCTACAGCTACACCTTGGAGAATGCCAAGGACATCATCGCCTGCGGCTTTGACATCAACAAGACTTTCATCTTCTCCGACCTCGAGTACATGGGGTAAGGAGAAAATGCACGGCTGCACTTTGTGTAAGTGGGTGCCAACAGCAAGTCAATGGCCACTGCAGAACCGGAATGCCAGAGGGACCCAAGGGCCTGGTGGCTGTTTCTCTGTCTACATTGAAAGGTCTGCTTTCTTGGTTTTGCTTACCAGTAGGTCTGAAAGCCCACAGCTGGGTGTGTGCACAGAAAGGACTCGGTCATGTCAGCATCATGGGGAAACAGTTGTCTCCTTTGCAGTTATATTAACAGAAATCTAAGACAAGCCGAGTCCCGGCAGCATGGTGTTGTCATCCTCAGCTTGTGACAGCAGTACTCCTGGACTACTGTTTCTCTCCAGGGACAGCCGCTCTTTCCCTTTTCATGGTACCTTTTCCTCACAGAGCACACTCACTGCTTACACAGTTCTCTCACAGTCCAGTTTGGGTGTTTGTTTTGTTCTGTTTTGCTTTGTTTTGTTTTTTGAGACAGGGTCTTGCTATGTAACTCAGACTGGCCTTAAACTTTCAACGATCCTCCTGCCTCAGCCTCCCAAATGCTGAGATTATAGGCCTACACCACCATACCCAGCTGATAGTGCAGTTTTTTAAATCAGGCTTTTAACAGGTCAACATATTGCATTCTGAAAATTCTTCATTTTGGGGACATTTTTTTGTTTGTTTTGTTCTTTTCTGTTTGTTTGAGACAAGGCCTCACTATGTAGTTCAGGCTGGCCTCAAACTCCCAGGGATCCTCCTGCCTAAGCCTCTGGAGTGCTATGATTACAGTTATGCTCTTCCATGCCGGCTAAAAATTCTTAAATTTCTGAGGTCTTGAGCTTCATCCCAAGTGATTACCAAGAAGTATACTAGAAAAACAAGACTCTGGTCAGTCATTAACAAAAAAATACTAAAGCTAAAGCTCAAAATTGAGGGCCGGAGTGTAGTGCGGTGGCAGAGCACTTGCCTAGCATGCGTGGGGGCCTGGGTCCCATCCCCAGCACTGCAGAGAAAGTCTTGACCCTACAAGTGCTCCCTGCAAGGGCGAGGGTTTAGCAGATCCAGACGCGTCTCACTTGGCTGGACGCCCTCACCCCAGTTCCTAGGCCAAGGCTGTCAGCACCGCAGAGCGTGGCTGTTCCCTCCTGAGTAGTAAGTACCTTTATATCCACTGGGAGCATCAGATGTCCTGACATGGCCCATTATGGCTCATGTCTAGATGCCCCCCAAAGCCTCAGGGAGTCCTAGGTGGGGCTTTTCAGAGTTGGCTGGATCCAAGGTGTAAGATGCTGGGGTCAAGGGTGCATGGTGACTAAGTTAGTCAGTCCACTGATGGGTTTGGCACAGTTCTGGTGTGGATGATGGGAAGGCCTCCTTGGCTGTGAGTGCTACCCGCCCTAAGGGCCTGCAGCCTGGATAGAATATTTGGGACAGAGAGAGGGCTGCTGTGGTTGCTTGTTGCTCGCTGCTTTGCTGTCTCCTGCCTGCCTGCCGTGGACTGTTCTGCTCTGTGATGCCCCTCTGCTATGCTGCACTGCCTTGGACCCAGCTGACTGTGGACTAGGAAAAGCAAGTAAGACAGTCCCTTAGGAAAGTAATTAATCCTCTCACTTTTTCCCATTCGATTTTCTTTCCATCATGAGGCACTGTAGTGTCCTTGAGGAAGGAAAATGGGTCTGGGTCCTGCTCTTTTAGTAGCCCTGTGGGAACACAGATGTTACGAGTATTGTCGTTGTGGCACTTTTCTTCATTCCTTAAAATGACCTGATTAGCCTGCTTGATCTCACCACAGACTCACTGTAGCTTTTTTGCTCCTCCTCAAGAGCCAGGCTGCCCACATGGCGCAGTAACTGCTGTCTCACTTTGGTGGGGGACAGGGGCTCCCTGTTGCTCAGGTTGGCTTATAATTTATGACCTGCCTGCCTCAGCCTCCCAAGTACAGTAGCTAGGATCACAAGTGTGCACCGCCTCACCCATCTTCTGTGCTTTCGCATGCAGCCTCTTCCCGCCCTACTGCAGCCCACCCAGTCCTTGTCCCCCACTAGGCAGGGATCTTCCGAAACGGCAGGGATGCTCTGCCTGCTCCAGTCAGTTCCCCATCAGCAGGTGGTGAGAGACAATTGCTCCTTGCCTCACGCTCAGCCCCGTGACTCAGCCTCCGTGCACCTCTCCAGTGCCGTTGTCACCACCGATGGGGTGGGACAGTCTGCAGCCCCCACCCCCTCACCCACCCCCACTTCCAGGCACTCTGCGCTGCCCAGAATCCCATGCGTCCTCTGACCCCACACCCCAGCGATAGGCACATGCTTGAGCACCCTCTCCCCTGCTGGGAGCCTTCCCACAGCCCGGTGACGGTCCCCCTCCAGTCCCTAGCACCCGCATGGCATCACAGTGTGGTGGAACCCTCTGCCCCGGGTTTGGGGGCGGGGAACGAGACGCTCGGTACTATGCTGTCCGAGGCTGGGCCTCCTAAGGCTACAGATCCCATGGGGCAGAGCCAAGCCCGCCTCCCGAGCTTAGATGCTGGTGGCAGGACGGGAGCAAACACCAGAGTGAATCTGAGAAGACCTCAGTGGGCAGTCGTGCGGTGGGGCAGTGAACCCTTGACCAAGCCTCGTGACGTGACAGACACATCTTCCAACACGTTCTGCAGCTGTGTCCCAGGCTGACTGGTAGCGGGGGGTCTCTGCTCCCCCTTGGCTCAGTAAGAACTTCCTTGTTCTTTACACATGCTGAGTAAAGATGAAAGTCAGGCTAGGCATGATGGCACACATCTGTAATGCTGCCACTCTCGGAGGCTGAGGCAAGAGGATTGCCAGTGGGAACCCAGCCTGGGCAACTTAGTGGTTTAGCAAGACCCTATTTGAAAATTAGAAAGGGCTGGGGGAGCTGGGTGTCATGGCGCACTCCTGTGATCCCAGCATTCGGGAGGCTGAGGCAGGAGGATCTCCATGAGTTCGAGGCCAGCCTGGGCTACATAGCGAGACCTTGTCTCTCAAATAAAATAAAAATGAAAAGGCTTGGGGATGTAGCTTAGTGCAGAGGCCTGGATTCAGTCCCTACTACCACACACACACACACACAGAAATAAGAACTTCAGCATCTCAACCTGATTTAAGAATTTATTCTAAACACGAGAGTCTTGCTTTTCTATCTTGAATTTAACACAAAGTCTGTATTTTTGACCTGACAAAGCTGCTTCAACAGCCACAAGCCTGGCCCTCGGAGGACTGTCTGCCTCCTCACTGGGCTCGTCGGTTCTGCTCTGAAAGCTGTCCCGCTGCGAGAGCAGTCACCTCCACCATAGTCCGTCTCAGCAGAGAAGCTCCCAGGGCCCCAGCCCAGCTCCCCACCACACACTCAGCCGCTGACCACACTGCAGCAGCCCCTGGCCCCTGGGCCTGGTGTGCCCTGGCCTCATTGCCTGTAGCTTTGTGCTGGCTTCGTGCTGGTCTCCATCTTTCTCTCCACAGGTGAAGAGCAGTGTAGCTGCTGCGGGTGTCTCTGCCTACAGGTGCCTTCGCCCCACCTTTCCAGTGTTCATGCATTGCACACACTCGGCCCCCAGCTGGGTCTAGGCCCAGCGAGTGACCCACACATACCTCACAGGCATCCAGGTCTTATTCTGTCTTATTTTGTTGCAGTTCTAGCGGTGGAACCCAGGGCCTTCGCACTGAGCTACATCCCCAACCCTTTCTAGTTTTTTATTTTGAGAGCAGGTCTCGCAGAGTTGCCCAGGCTGGGCTGATACTCGAAGTCCTCCTGCCTCAGCCTCCCAGAGTTCTAGGCTCATAGGTGTGCACCACGACGCCGACTGGGCATCAGTTTTCATGCTGCTCCCTTGTCCTTGTGGGAGCCCCGCCCACTGCAGTCTGATTCTCGTTGTCTCTGCAGGATGAGCCCAGGCTTCTACAAGAATGTGGTGAAGATTCAGAAGCATGTCACCTTCAACCAGGTGAAAGGCATCTTCGGCTTCACGGACAGTGACTGCATCGGTAAGGCCTGCGGCCACCGTGGCCTCCCTGCCCCAAGCTCAGCAGAGCTCTGAGGGGCTCAGAGAAGTGGTGCCACACCTTGGCCGAGTGCCTGGGCTTCATCCACTCTGGGGACCCAAGTGGCTCTGAGATCCACATTGCAGTGAGTCCCTAAGTAGGACGTCCTGAAATGTCAGGCGCTTGGCCAGCAGGGCTGCTTCCCGGGGCGCGCCAGGGTGTTCCTTAGGAACAAAAGTGCTCCTCTGCCCAGCCACTCACTGTAGGCTTAGGGAGGGAGAGAACAGAAGAAAACAGCCTCTTACACTTGACACATACTCGAAGCCGGGCTTTGGGGAAGGGTTTTTATGGTCCGAGTCCCAGTAGGAGGATCCCAGAGTGAAAGCTGCACTGGGCAGGTGGCTAAGGAGGGGGCAGAGCGTGAGGAGCCACCTGGAACTGGCCTCAGCTGCGCACTTTCTGTGTGCAGGGCTGGGACCTGCCAGGTCTCCCCAGAGACAGTGAGAACCCTGGACATGGTGTCTCTTTCTGAAGTGGCTTGAAAACTGTCAAAGAACAAACACCCAACAGTTCAGCTCAACCGTGTTAACTGGCATCACTTCATTCCTTAAAATGGAATCTGTCTTCCCATGAGCCGGGCAAGAGAGGGATTTTACAGACCGAAGGGCTTCCAGAAATCAGAGATAGTGACCACAAAACGAGGACAGGTCGTGTCAGAGGTGCTTTCCTTGTCAGTGGGGACAGGAAGACAGGACAATAGAAAAATAATTGACAGGCACACATGGAGTTTGTTCAGGCGACCTTTTTGTGTGACGCCTAAGGCAGAGGCCCTCACTGTGCCGATTGGCACTGGCCTGCGGGGAATCCAGTCCTGGTTTCTTGGCCAGTCAGAAAAATTGCTTAGTTGCTGCTGAAACTTGAGCGTGGGCGACTCCATGGCCTGCTGGGTGTTGGTACAGTCTGCTCCAGTGGCCACCACCTCCCATGAGAAGCCACACAGAGGTGACACTGGAGGGGGAGGAAGCAGCACCCGCTTCTCACCGGGGTGCTGCAGCCAGGCCCTCAGTGTGCTCTCAGCTACAGCCGGAGCACACCCCACTGCAGGCAGGGACTGGCTCAGCCCCACTCGCCCAGGGGTACAGGGCCAAAGATTCGACCATAGCAGTGAGGACAGCAGCAGCATGCAGAACGCAGGAGCCCTTCAATAGCAATTTCATTATCATTTATGACAATCGGAGATGGGAGCAGCCTGCGTGGCCACAGGTGTGAGAGTGGTTCAGCAGCACAGATACTAAAGGGATAGAAGGGGCAGATTTAATAACCCCGAGGGGAACGGAACGGAGGGAAAGGGCTAGGGGGCGCTGGATAGCGCCCTCCCCACCAAAGCAGAGACAGCGGAAACATGGCCAGGCCAGAGGCAGACTGGGCTTTCTTCTCCTCGCTACCCTTCAGTGTGTTTCCGATCTTTAGTGATTTCCAGGCTTCCACGGATTTGCTCTCGGGAGGTACACACGGGGAGGCGTGTGGGGTCCTGGTGTGAACCTCTCTCCTCCGCTTGCAGGGAAGATCAGTTTCCCCGCCGTGCAGGCCGCGCCCTCCTTCAGCAACTGCTTCCCGCAGATCTTCGGGGACCGGGCCGACATCCAGTGCCTCATCCCCTGCGCCATCGACCAGGTCAGCGGGCAGCCCCAGGCGGGGCACAGGCGCCCAGCTCTGCACACTTGCGGCCCAGCGTGCTCAGCCGGCTCTGTCCCTCCAGGACCCCTACTTCCGGATGACCAGGGACGTGGCCCCCAGGATCGGCTACCCTAAGCCGGCGCTGCTGCACTCCACTTTCTTCCCGGCCCTACAGGGCGCCCAGACCAAGATGAGCGCCAGCGACCCCAACTCCTCCATCTTCCTCACAGACACGGCCAAGCAGATCAGGACCAAGGTGAGCCGCCCCGCGAGCGCACGCGGGCTCACACAGCTCCCTGCTGCTCCAGGCCTGCACACCTGGAGGTGGCCCGTCCGGGTCCCAGACAGCAGGGGATTTGTTTTGTTTCTTTTCTTTTAGGTAAAAACCTGGGTGTTTTTTTCCTTCCTTTCTCTTTTTCCTGCCTTTCTTACCAACACTGTGGCAGCACCTTAGAGACTGTCATCAAGGGCCAGGGATTTAGCTCAGTGGTAACGCCACCTGCCTCACAAGCTGAAGGACCCAAGTTCGATCCCCAGTACCAAGAAAAAAAAGGAGAGACTGTCATCAAACTATCCAGCGTTTCCATCTGTTCCAAGCCCAAGCGCTGGGACAGGTGCCTGACCCTGTCTTTAAAAAACAAACCAGGGCCAGGGATTTAGCTCAGTGGTTTCATCGCCTGCTGCACAAGCGCAAGGACCCAAGTTCAATCCCCAGTACCCAAAAAAAAAAAAAAAAAAAAACCCTTCTCAGGCCCAGCTCAGCCTTTGGACAGAATCTCCACAATGGGGGAGATGGAGGGCACAAGCAGCAGCTGGGACGCAGCAAGGCTGGAAGTGAGTCAGGCTCCATTGGTCTGGGGCTGTGAGGCAGTAGGCCAGACTGGCTGGCCCCTCTCGTGGACTGGGGAATGAACCCCTGGCCTTTGCACTGAGCTGCATCCCCGGCCCTTCTATTTTTTTATTTTTTATTTTGAGACAGGGCCTCATTAAGTAGCTACATTGCCCAGGCTGGACTGGAACTTGCAGTCCTCCTGCTGGGATTCCAGGCGTGCACCACCATGCGGGGCTGCACTGCTCTCTACCCAGAGCACCTGTGTGACCTGTGCCGTGGCTGGTTCCCCACCCCCAGTGCTGTCCATGACCTAGTCCTGTTCTGACACTCCCTTGCCCACCCCAAGCCCCCGCCACAGCCTGAAGAAGTCAGCCAGGCGCCGTGCCCATCAGTTTGTCACCAGGACCCACAGGAATAGCTGGGGAGACAGGTGCGCCAGGTGCAGAGCCGCACTGCTCCCCGGACCTCAGTTCGGCCCGCCCGGCCGACGGCTTCCGGAACTCGGTCTGCAGCCCAGATTCAGCACTGCAGGCCCCTGGGGGGATGAGAGGCTGGGCCTTCTGGCCGCTACCCCCTCCCTCGCAGCCCGTCCTGAGGGATGTGGGGGCCCCACCCTGTCCTTCATGGGCAGAAACTCAGGCATCACCAGGAAGATTTGAGGAACTGGGTACAGGACAGAGCATCTTAACAAGGGATGCTCCTGTCACTCGGGAAACCTCAGGGGGTTCGGGAACACTGTCAGCCAGGGTGAGGACCACGCACCTCCCACCACACCACAGGGCTGCCATTGCCTTCTCGGGCCAGGGACCTTTGCTGTCCAGATTGTCTTCTGAAGCGGAAAGTCCCACTGTCCTCGCAGACCCAAGGCAGAGCTTATGTAAGGTCACTGACACTAGCACGTGCCCCAAAGGTAAAGTTTAGTTTGAAGAGGAAACGTTGGACGGTGGAGGGTGAGATGAAGCCCACCTCCTCAGGGCTGTCCGGTGGGACCATCCATGGCAGCCCTGTACATGTGGAGCTTCACATGCCTGTAACCCCAGCCCTCTGGGAGGCTGAGGCAGGAGGATCTGGAGTTCAGGTTGGGCAACTTAGCAAGACGGTGTCTCAAAATCAAAACGGCTGACTGAGGATGTAGCTCAGTGTGGAGTTCCAGGTTCAATCCCCAGTACCACCCACAAGAAAATGTGGAACCGCGTGTTCTGAGCCACACACATCCAACGCAGGTCACTCGCTTGTGATCAGCACCCACTCCAGCGCCCTCTGATGGCCCCAGGTCTGGGCGCCCTCCGGGCAAGGCCCTGCCTAGCTCGAAGGCCTTGGTAGCTGAACCAAGTCTCTGCCCTCCATGCAGGTGCCCTGCTTGGCCTCACCTTCCCACGGTCACTTGGTTGAGTGCATCTCACCCGCTTCCATCATCCTGGCCCAAGTGGCCGCATTCTGGGCCGGCCCCATCCCAGGCCATGTTCTCCTTGGTCTCCTGTGAGTCGGGTCTTCCAGCTGGTTCCCACCAGACATCCAGGGGCCAGTGTCCCTGCCTGGCATCGTCACTCTAGCCGTCACTCACAGCCAACCCTGCCACTCCCGCCACATACAGGGCGTCTGGACACGCTGGGCCAGCGCTCCTCACCAGCTAGGTGAAGACACTGCAGAGCCCACCCGCTGCTGGGGACTGAAGCCAGCATTTCCTCAACGTGACCCACCATTTGCAGCACCCTCTGCTGGATGAAGGGTCCGTGCAGAGGCCCTGCAGGTGGGCACTGGCCAGCTGGTGCTGTCCTGTCCACTGCCGAGGAGCGTGCAGGGCCTGGCCTGTGTCTGGCCCCAGGCAGATGCCTGTGCCTTGTTGTACCCCCCCCGCCCCCGCCGCCAGGTCACGGTGACCGCAGGAGTCCAGGACTAGGTGGGGTTTTTTTCTTTCCTTTTACTTCTTATTTTCCATGGTTTTTTCCATTTGCATAAATGAATTTGTTTTATAACTTCTTTTTTTTAATTCCACATACTTTATTCTTCTCAGCTAATATATTTTAATACAATACTTTCTCTATATTTCTTTTCCTTTTCCATTGAGTTTATTGGTACATTTTAGGTGTACAATACAGTTACACTCATCATTGGGATCTTGTACCTTTACATGATGTATCTTGGTTCTTATTTTTTCCCCATTCCCCCACCCTCCCTTCAATCCTTCCACACCTCCCTATTAACAAAGACTTTGTGGACCAGGGATTTAGCTCAGTGGTTCTGCTGCCCGCCTCGCAAGCACAAGGTCCCACGTTCGATCCCTGGTACAAAAAAAACAAAGACTTTGTTTCTATTTTTTCCTTTTCTCATATTTTTTCCTTTCTCTTCTTTCCTTTCCCCAACCCCTTTGGAGCTTTTATTCCTATTTCACATTATCAGTTGTACTTTTTGATCCTTATTTACACTTTTAGTTTCTCACACCAGAGAAACTATTCGGTATTTACGCGTGTGTGTCCTATTTATTTCACTTAAGAGTATGCCCTCAATATGCATCCATTTAGCTATAAATGTCTAGTTTCTCATTCTTTATGGCTGAGTACTCCATTTTTTTTTTTTTAATCACATCTTCTTTATCCAGTCTCCACTTAATGGGCACTTGGGCTGTTTCCAAGATTTAGCTATTACAAACTGTGCCGCTATAAAAATGGGTGCGCATATATGGCTGTGGTATGGTTCTCTTAATACTTTTGGGAAAATACCCAGCAGGGGAATACCTGGGTCAAATGGGACCTCTAATTCTAGTTCTTTGAGGTATCGCCATACTGATTTCCACAGTGGTTGCACCAGTCTGCACTCCCACCAACAATGGAGAAGGGT